GTAGCCATACAACCAGAAGGTCTCCCATCCCAAGGGGACTTACTGATCAGGACTGAACATACTTGTTTTCCTCTGATGTAGACATACAACCAGAAGGTCTCCCATCCCAGGGGGACTTACTGACCAGGACTGAACATACTTGTTTTCCTCTAATGTAGCCATACAACTAGAGGGCCTCCCATCACAGGGTGGGTTTCATAATCAGGACTGAGCAGACTTGATCTCCCCTGATGCAGCCATACACTCAGAGGGTCTTCCAACCCAGGGTGGGTTTACTGATCAGCAAGGCAGACAGCAGAAATTTTGGGGCCCCTTACAAAGCTTTAGGCCTGACCACTGACATTGCCCAGGATCCACCCACTGGCCATACCACAAAGGCCCATTTTATGTGCGTTTCCTTTTCCTCCTGCAGTCCCATCTCCCCCATCCCACGTCCTTTTCCTTCTGCAGTCCCATCTCCTCCATCCCACATCCTCCTCCTCCAGTCCTATCTCCTTCCACTCATGTCCCCCTCCAGTCCCATCTCCTCCCACCACAGGAGGGGGGGGGGGGCAGTGGAACAGGTGGGGGAAGTGTCACAGAAGAGCAGCGGGATATGTGGGAGAAAAATCAGGACAAACGGGGGGGGGGCAGCGGGACAGAAGAAGAGCAGGATAGGTGGGCAGTCCACAAGTCCACTCAGAAAGCAGCACTGCCCCACGTTAAAGACAGCTCTAGTTAGGGCCCAAGGTCTTTGTGTATGGACTGTCTCCCCCTGATGGCAGCCCTGCTGATCAGGACTAAATGGACTTGGTCTCTGGCACTATGGTCATACACCCAGAGGATTTCCTGTCTCAGAGCAGGTTTATCGATTAGGACTGAATGGACTTGTTCTCCTGATGTAGCCATACACCCAGAGGATCTTCTATCTGAGTGGGTTAACACGTCAGGACTGAATGGACTCCTCTAGTGATGTGGCCATACAACCAGAGGGTCTCTCCTATCCCAACATGGGTTTACTGGTCAGGACTGAATGGACTCCTCTAGTGATGTGGCCATACATCCAGAGGATCTTCTATCTCAGAGTGGTTTTACATGTCAGGACTGAATGGACTCCTCTAGTGATGTGGCCATACAACAAGACATGTAAACCCACTCTGAGATAGAAGATCCTCTGGGTGTATGGCCACATCACTAGAGGAGTCCATTCAGTCCTGACCAGTAAACCCACGTTGGGATAGGAGACCCTCTGGTTGTATGGCCACATTACTAGGAGTCCATTCAGTCCTGAGGGTCTCCTATCCCAACGTGGGTTTACTGGTCAGGACTGAATGGCCTCCTCTAGTGATGTGGCCATACACCCAGAGGATCTTCATTCAGTCCTGACTTGTAAAACCACTCTGAGATAGAAGATCCTCTGGGTGTATGGCCACATCACTAGAGTCCATTCAGTCCTGACCAGTAAACCCACGTTGGGATAGGCGACTCTGGTTGTATGGCCACATCACTAGAGGAGGCCATTCAGTTGACCAGTAAACCCACGTTGGGATAGGAGACCCTCAGGACTGAATGGACTCCTCCTAGTGATGTGGCCATACACCCAGAGGATCTTCTATCCCAGAGTGGGTTTACACGTCTTGGTTGTATGGCCATATCACTAGAGGAGTCCATTCAGTCCTGACTTGTAAAACCACTCTGAGATAGGACTCCTCTAGTGATGTGGCCATACAACCAGACGTGTAAACCCACTCTGGGATAGAAGATCCTCTGGGTGTATGGCTACATCACTAGAGGAGTCCATTCAGTCCTGTCCAGTAAACCCACATTGGGATAGGAGACCCTCTGGTTGTATGGCCACATCACTAGGAGGAGTCCATTCAGTCCTGAGGGTCTCCTATCCCAACGTGGGTTTACTGGTCAGGACTGAATGGCCTCCTCTAGTGATGTGACCATACAACCAGAGTCGCCTATCTCAACGCGAGTCTACTGGTCAGGACTGAATGGACTCCTCTAGTGATGTGGCTATACAACCAGAGGGTCTCCTATCCAAACATGGGTTTACTGGTCAGGAATGAGTGGACTCAGTCTCCCCTGATGTAGCCATACATCCAGAGGGTCTCCCATCCCAGGGTGGGTTTACTGGTCGGGAGTGAACAGACTTGTTTCCACAGTTATGTGGTCACACATCTAGGGGGTCTCCTGTCGCAGACCATGTTTACCAATCAGATCAGAACAGCCTTGTTCTCCAGTGTTGTGGCCATACACTCAAAGAGGATCTCTTATCCCAACATGGGTTTACTGATCAGGACTGAAAGAACTTGTTCTCCCCAGATATAGCTATACAACCTCCCATTCCCAGGTGGGATTACTGGTCAGAATTGAATAGTCTTTGTTATCTAGACATGGAGCCATGCATCCAGAGGATGTCCAGGCCCAGAGCAGGTCTACTGATCAAGACTGAACAGATTTGTTCTCCCTTGATGTAGCCATACACCCCAAGGGTCTCCCATCCCATTTTTGGGTTTACAGATTAGGAATGAATGGACGTGTGTAGGGATGTACTGTTATACTGGCGGCTGAAATGTATTGGGCGAAAATAGTGTTATTGGCCTTTTGTTGATAGGAAAAATAGTGCCGAAAATGCACGATTCTGCCACGTTTTTGCCACAATTTTACCACATTTAAGGTGCATTTTTCATAGGTCATGTGGCTCAAAACACTGTGCGTTACGCATTTTTGATGTGTTTTTTTAATTTTTTTTTTGCTTAATTTGTTACGGGACAGATTAAAAACACATAAAAAAAAAACACAAGTGTGTTTTTGCTGCGTTTTCAATGCATTTCAGACCTGTTTCACACCAGTGCAATTTACATTTTGTCCATTTCGCAATGCATTTTCCGTTTCTGCATGTGGGTTTTTTGTCGCGATTTTTTGCACAACTTGTTGCTGGGCAGATTAAAAAAAAACGCATCAAAAACGTGTTTTTGCACGCGCGTTTGAAAAAAAAAATTTTCAAAAACCAACTCATAAAGAGATGTCAAATGCGCATGCAAAAACACATTTTTAATGCGTTTTTTTTTTTTTTTTTTAATCTGCCCATCAACAAATTCACCAAAAAATTTCAAAAAACAACTCATAAAAAATGTCAATTTGTTGATGGGCAGATTAAAATTCCAAAACGCGTCAAAAACACAAAAGCACTGCAAAAACTGTGAAAGCAGGCTATTGGCCGAAAATGAATTCATATGCATTTAAATTTGTGATATTAATTAAAAAGTCAAATAGAACACAATTCAATAAAAAAAATATATATTTTTTTTAAAAAAGGGTCCATTTCGGTTTTGATTTTTGGCCAAATGCATCCTGAATTTTCAGTTTCAGTCCAAGAATTTTCATTTCTGTGCACCACTAGACGTGTGTGATGCGGCCGTACATCCAGAGGGTCTCCAGTCCCAGAGTGGGTTTACTGATCAGGACAGAACGGACAATGTGGTTCTGGAATATTGCAGCAACAGGTCAGTAAATTGATATCAAGGTGCAAGTAAAAACGTCACCTAATGGTGACTAATAGGTGATTGGGCACTAGACCAAACACAGTCTATGGCGTGAGTAGAAAAGATCCCAAATGATCTTCAAAAATCCAATAGCTGGATCCGTGGATGAGGTGATGGATATATAAAGATTGCGCACTCACCAGATACGCAATCTCAATGCGCATTTAGGGAAGATAACCTCAGGACATCAAGGATCCTTATGTGGGTCTGGTCAGATCTGGTCAAATGCCCCTCACTGCTTGGTAGTGCTGCCACATTTGGAAATAGCCACTCTGCAGATGTAAATGGCTCCCACCGGAGCTCAGAGTGGCTATTTCCAAATGTGGCAGCACTACCAAGCAGTGAGGGGCATTTGACCAGATCTGACCAGACCTACATAAGGATCCTTGATGTCCTGAGATTATCTACCCTAAATGCGCATTGAGATTGCGTATCTGGTGAGTGCGCAATCTTTATATATCCATCACCTCATCCAAGGATCCAGCTATTGGATTTTTGAAGATCATTTGGGATCTTTTCTACTCACGCTATAGACTGTATTTGGTCTAGTGCCCATTCACCTATTAGTCACCATTAGGTGACGTTTTTACTTGCACCTTGATATCGGTTTATGTTATTTTATTGTATTTTTTATATGAGGATGTTTGTCCATATATCTTAATATAACATTTTAGCTCTGCACCTTGCTTTATTCTGATCATTCTGGAGGTTTATATGGTGCCTTTTTGGTGTTCAGCTGCTGTTTTTTCCTTTCAACTCATTTATAATTTTACTCTAGCGCTCACTTACCCTGTGATTTACAGGTCAGTAAATTGGACATGAGTCCATTCAAACTGCTTTCATAATGCAATGGATTTGATCTGTGAGGGTTTCATCATTGCTTATTTTGATGGGAGTCAGAAGGTGTACATATGGCCAACTAGATGACCATTTGAAAACATCTTGAAAAAAAATCAGACAGACATGGGTATAAAAATGCAGATTTTTAATAAAGAACCAGAAATTCACCTTCTAAAGCAGCTCAATGTGAGCGAGTGTACAATAAAGGTAAATCCACAACTATCCCCCACTTCTCCAGCAGCCATTCCTCTGGCCGCGTTCATTTCACGTTTGTCAGATGGTGCTGGTCAGGGACATAAAACCTTCGTCATCCTCAACATCTCTCCTTGGATGAAATGAAGCTGAATTCAAATCCCCCACAATGTCCAGCCTGCGGGGTAGGGTCTGTGACCCCCTAACCTCCGACCCACATAAGCCTGGCAGGGTCGTGGTACATAAGTGCTGTCAGGAAGAGTTGGGGGAATGGGGTATAAAATTCACCAACATTTAAAAAGGGATAAAAACCAAGAAGTGATACAAATATCTCTGAAGATGGACCTCGTCTTGGCAGCATGATGTTCCCCTGTCGGTGAGACGCTCAATCTCCTGAGGGGTCTACAGACATTACTGTCACTATACAAGCTGTTGCTATAGCTGACCTTCAGGACTACAGTCATTCTCACATGTACGATTTGTGGCCTGGAACTCTGCAGTCTTCTCCTGGATCATCCTCTGGCCCGCTGAGGACACCAGGCCACGGATACAGTGCACCCGAACCAGGCCGGAGTGACCCGCAGAAACTATCCATGTGTAGGTGTCCAAATTAGGGCTGAAACGAACCTGGAAATTACAGAAATAATTAGTTGACTGCATAACAGACACAAGTTCACCCACACCACCAGATAGAAGGGTTGGCAGATCAATTCCCATCTTCTCTGGTGGTGATTACAGACCAAAAAATAGGGTCTTCATACTTACTGTGAAATTAATTTCTTGAAGCCCGAGACAACCAGACTTGAAGCTCATTGAGGGACAACCGGACTTGAAACTACGATCAGGTTATAAATGTAACCTAAAGAAGGATTTTGACACTGGCAAAGAGAAAACCCTCAAGTCATTCCCAAGTATAACCCCTCCTCTACCAAGCATGCTTCAGTTTTGAGGTAGACCAGTAGCAAAGGCATGAGCAACAACACAGGAACCTATGTTCAACGGATTTTACGATTAGTACAAAAATCCCATCTTCTTTATTAATGGAGAGACACACAGGAATTCATATTGGGGCAACCAAAAGCACTCCAACTGAGGACTGGGCCAATACAGCAAAATCACCATACTAAAGAATCAATGCTGGAATCTGAATGAATGAGATGGGGCCGCCTTTTAGACAGAGGAACCTGCCAACATGACCAAAGGGAAAGCATAGAGGATCAACTGTTCCAGACCAGGATGGAGAATATACCAAAAAGGGAAATTACATCACATGGAAGGAAAAAACCCATACACAAGCTAAATGAGAAGCTGCTCAGCCAGGACACACCAAAAACAGGCAGAAAAACAAAATTTCCCTAAAGAAAAGGATTCTCAACCAAACAAACAAAAAGAAATGACCCTAAGCAAAAACAGGTCCCAATGGAACCCAGTACAAAAAAAAACAAAAAACACAACAGGTCCATGTGACTAAGACCAGCCAACCTTAATTGGAAGGCCCAAGGTTCAACATCTCCACCTCTAGGGTCAAAAAGTATAAACAGTCCATGACTAAAGGAGATTGCCGGACCAGACAGCCAACCTCAGGTAGTAGAATGTACAACAGTAGTACAATTCAATAGCCCAAGAGTGGGGTAAACGGAGCCCTAAGCCCACTAGAGAACTCAAGGTTTGGTTCCACAAAGTCAACAAGACTGAAAAGAATGTTGCAAAGAACAAGCTATGAGACAAGAGTGCTCCTGACACCCTCAGGTCCAACCAAGCATCAACTGCAATGGGACAAGAGGCAGGAATCTACACCAAGAGGTGAAGATCATACCTACTTAAGGACAGGACACAGCAAGTGACCAAGGAGGATCTTCCCAGGAAGGCTGTTGATCAAGGGATTGACCTCCCTCCTTGGCTGAAGAGGTTCTTTAGAGAGACACCCTTCCTAGCAAAGGGTGCCTGCAGCAGATGGTTAGGACGATCTTCCTGACGACAATGTAGGAAGGTATAGGGCTCTTAAATGAAGATTTCCTCCCCGCAGTCCAGGATCTGAGGCACATGCCGGTGTATAAAGATTCCTCCTCGGTACAGAGGTTACTAGTAGGGGAGAGGTAGTTTCCAAAATAATGTCCTTCAGAAGGTACATCAAAGGGAGACTAACACTATCAGCATTGTCCAGTGCAGGGGTCGGCAGCTCTCAATGTCATGGGGAGAAGACGAGTCCCAATTCTCTTCAGAGTTGAGAGAACTGCAACACTAAGATGGTATCAAACGGATTGAAAAACTCCCTAGAGAGCCAAGGATAAACAAGGTGTGGCCCCCTTTTAGAGAAGGTTTTGGCTGGACCATCACACACCCACCGGTGACAGGTGGTCACCAACAATGAAAACTGGTGAGGCCCAATGCAACCAAATCTTACAGGAGACCCTTTAGGAAGGAACCGACTACACCGATTCATGAAGCTGACCCCCTTAGCAGGAGGACATCTGAGCATTCCACAATGAGGATGGCCAAGAGAGGTCACTAGACTGGACAGAAGGGCCAATACTCTGACAAAACAGCAGGTGTCTCCAAGTGGCCTTGGAGATCCAGGTTCCTGCTCAAGAAGGGAACAGTTACGTATAGTTCCTGTCAAGTGAATGGGTGAGAGAATCCCTTAGGAGGAGGAGACACCTTGAGGAGTATCCTACACCATGAGGGGCTGTTCCTGTCCTAAAGATAGCGGGCCTTCCTCAGGAAGGAAGTGAAAACCTGGAAGGGGAACACCTTTAGAAACCGAGACAGGAGTTGAGTCTCAGGGTGAGAAGAATACATACATGGGAGGTGTAGGGTTCTGTGCAATCACATAAAAAAAATAAAATAAAAAGGGGCAACTGAGGTGGGTGATGGTAAGTGGACTAAAAGGTGGCACAGAAAAGGAAACTACCAAAGGACCCACCAGGATGCACAAATCAGCCCCTCCAATTGCAGAAGCTGGAGGGCACCTTCATGCAGAAGCCATCTTGAGGGATTACTTGAGCTTTGGGTACTAGCCCTACTGATCAGGATCACAGGGACTAGGTACACCTACTGAAGAGAAGATGAAGGATAGGATTCAGCTGAGCTCCTCCTGAACCTTCCATGACAGGGCTGGTGCATGCTCTGACCTCCTGTGACATTACTGGTCATGGTGTCCAGTACAGGGCCAGAGAGGATGCATCCCTCAAAAGCCAATGAAATCTGATGACCTTTGGGTAGATCATCAGGGTGCCAGCAATACAGCCACACTGCTCTATGCATCTCTATGGACATCAGACTTCTGAGGAATGATTGTAGTAAGCCATGAAAACTGTAGCATAAAGCTCCACACATTTGCGGTGCCAGTTCTCTGAAACGAGGGTCAATCCCAGCTAAAGAAACATCATTTTGAAGGAAACAGGCTCACTTTGACAAACTAGGGTCACTGCTAACACTGGACGGAGGGACAGAACCAGCTCTTTTAATGTGGGATTTGACATGGGATTCCAACTGCCTGCCAGTAGAATCTTGTAAAAACGTAAGTACACCTTCCACCCGACTAGTGATGTTCCTGGTAAGATGCGACCCTGGCTGATCTGCAGTGTCCATGGTTAAACAAAACCTCTTTCAAAAGGGAAAGCTTTGCAGAACATTTTCATGCAGGGCTCAGGACCACTCAGGGTGCTTCCAGTCCATAAAAAGCAGGGGTCTCCAAACTTTATAAACAAAGGGCCAGTTTACTGTTCTTCAGGAGGGTTGGGGTAATAGTGCCCCACCACTGGTGTCAGTGGGTGGAATGGTGCCCCACCACTGGTGTCAGTGGGTGGAATGGTGCCCCACCACTGGTGTCAGTGGGTGGAATGGTGCCCCAACACTGGTGTCAGTGGGTGGAATGGTGCCCCAACACTGGTGTCAGTGTGGTGGAATGGTGCCCCAACACTGGTGTCAGTGGGTGGAATGGTGCCCCAACACTGGTGTCAGTGGGTGGAATTATTACCCCATCGTTTGCGTCCGTGGGAGGAATAGTGCCCCGAGGGCTGGATAAAGGCAAGCAAAGGCCCACATTCAGCCCCCAGGGCCACAGTTTGGAGACCAATATAGAGGAATGCCTCAAATAGCGGGCGTAATAGGAAGGTCTTTGTAGCACCCAAGGCTGAAGACATCAGACTGATGTTCCAAATGCAGACTATTATGTACTGCATCAATAAGGTCCCTCACAACCTTTTTTAATTCTGAAGTGAAATCAGTTAAAAAGTCCTGAGTGGATATGGAGGTTCTTGGAGGGAAGGTCTAGGGACTAATCCCATCCAACAGAACTGAAGAAAATGACCCAATAACAATGGGGGTACTGGCTTCCAGACTACAGCTGACTCTCCAGAGTGGGGATCCCAAGAAGGCGGCCTCAGGACCCCTAGGGGAGTATGGGCTAGGCTCACCCATAGCAGCAGAACTGTTTCTCGTCAATCACAGTGTGAGAGCTTAGTAGTAGGCCTAAAGTGTGAGGAAAGGCCTGTTACTTGTGAACCTGGAAAGCTGGTGCTGCCGAAGGTTGAGTGGTCTAACATGACCAGGTCATGTGGACCCATGAGCGGCTTGCAGGCAATAGGATGGTGCCTCCCCTTATGCTGAATGTTGGGAAAGAGCATGTGGCACTAGGATATCACTGCTGAATCCCTCAGCATTGACTCCCACTACGGTGAAATGTAAAAAGGTACCCATTGGTGCAGACAGTGAGGTAGCTCCCGATGCTTCAGCCTGATTGACCTTACTAAGCGAGTCTTCAGAGACAGGGTCACACTTGGGGCTGACACACAATTCTGGACCCAAAAAACACTATGCGGCTAATTAACACAGTACACAATGTAAAGCCAAGTTCCCGAACCTCACATTCCAGGCTAGCCCACCCAGTCCAGCAGGTCCGGGTATCAGCTGAGGAAAGGCCTCAATGGACGAGAAAGAAAATGGTTTATTGGTGGGACATCCAGGGGAGACAGCCGCATACAGAGGAATATATACAAAGAACGAGGACAGAACCACACTGTGTTCTCATTTCACGCATCATTAACTCTCAGCTCTGCAGGCAGAAATCACTAAGAGAGGAGCTCTGCACCATTCCTGCAGATGAGGATCAGTCCGCACCTCGATGATTCCCCTCCTCCCCACCACATCCCAAGTATAGCAACACTGACCTCCTCTACACAACAATCCCATAGTACAGCATCTACCAAACAAGGAGCTGTTCACATCTTATACTCCCCATCACTGCTCTCCAGCCTGGACTGGATCAGGGCTGACCCCACCCAGAACTCTGCAGAACACAGACAACTCTGCACCTAATCTCTTCACCGAATTCACATACACCTGCTGTGCCTATTATGAGGGGTTCCCACCATCCCTGTACACCTGCTGTGCCCATTATGAGGGGATCCCACCATCCCTGTGCTGAATTCCCAGGACTGTACACCTGCTGTGCCCATTATGAGGGGTTCCCACCATCCCTGTACTGAGTTACCGAGTCTGTACACCTGATGTGCCCATTATAAGGTGTTTTCACCATCCCTGTGCCGAGTTCCTAGATATGTACACCTGCTGTTCCAAGGTCTGCATACTTGCTGTGCCCATTATGAGAGGTTTCCACCGTCCCTGGGCCGAGTTCCTGGCTATGTACACCTGCTGTTCCCACCATCCCTGTGTCGAGTTTCTGGTTTCTGATCCATTACACTTGATGTTCCCATTATGAGGGGTTCTCACCAGGGCTCCTTCCATCCCTGCATGGGGTGCCTCAGTCTGGGGACCTGCTGTTCCCATTATGAAGGGCTCCTTCCATCCCTGCATGGGGTTCCTCAGTCTGGGGACCTGCTGTTCCCATTATGAAGGGCTCCTTCCATCCCTGCATGGGGTTCCTCAGTCTGGGGACCTGCTGTTCCCATTATGAAGGGCTCCTTCCATCCCTGCATGGGGTTCCTCAGTCTGGGGACCTGCTGTTCCCATTATGAAGGGCTCCTTCCATCCCTGCATGGGGTTCCAGGCTCTAGGAACCTGCTGTTCCCATTATAAAGGGCTCCTTCCATCCCTGCATGGGGTTCCAGGCTCTAGGAACCTGCTATTCCCATTATGAAGGCTCCCACCATCCTTGTGCCGAGTTTCCCAGAGGATCCCCCTCCTTACTCCCACACACACTCCACTGGACATCTTCATGTGGTGTGTGGAGGAACAGAGCACCTCACCTTGTGTATAGACTCCAGCTGGACGCGCTCCATGTTCACATCACCCTTCGTCTCATTGGTTGTCATCCTCCTGGTGGGCTCTCTGTTGTTAATTCGATGGAAGTCTCTCTGCGGAGAGACAAGGAGGGGTCAGTACGATGAGGACAGAAGAGAATACAATATAACCTCGGGGATGTCCCACCTATCAGACAACAACATTCCAAATGTTAAGAATTTCAGCCAAATCAATTTGGGATGGAGCATAAAACTGAGAATCCTGAGTGTGTCTCAGAATACAGACAGAGGTAGGGGTGGTACTGAGCCCCCTGTGGTCTGTGCGTCTCAGCATACAGAGAGAGGTGGGTGGTACTGAGCCCCCTGTGGTCTGTGCGTCTCAGCATACAGGCAGAGGTGGGTGGCACTGAGCCCCCTGTGGTCTGTGCGTCTCAGCATACAGGCAGAGGTAGGTGGTATTGAGCCCTGTGGTCTGTGCGTCTCAGCATACAGAGGTGGGTGGCACTGAGCCCCCTGTGGTCTGTGCGTCTCAGCATACAGACAGAGGTGGGTGGCACTGAGCCCCCTGTGGTCTGTGCGTCTCAGCATACAGACAGAGGTAGGTGGTACTGAGCCCCCTGTGGTCTGTGCGTCTCCGCATACAGACAGAGGTAGGTGGTACTGAGCCCCCTGTGGTCTGTGCGTCTCAGCATACAGGCAGAGGTAGGTGGTACTGAGCCCCCTGTAGTCTGTGCATCTCAGACCGCAGGAGGCTCTGTACTACCTACCTCTGTATGCTGAGACACACAGGTCGCAGGGGTCTCAGTACCCCTTACCTCTGTCTGTATGCTGAGAGACACAGACCACAGGAGGCTCAGTACCACCTACCTCTGTCTGTATGCTGAGACACACAGGTTGCAGGGGGCTCAGTACCCCCTACCTCTGTCTGCATGCTGAGACACACAGGTTGCAGGGGGCTCAGTACCCCTTACCTCTATATGTGTATGTTGAGAGACCCAGACCGCAGGAGATTGAGTCTTACCAAATCCGTGTCATGGAAGAGGAGGCTGGCACGGCTGGCTGCCGCTCGGAACGACTTTGGCTTGAAACATTGGTAGTCCGAGCTCTCGGTCAACAACTCGCCAGATGGGCTGTGGGTGTCATTGTCCAGAGGAGGCGCGGAGGACTGGAAATCGGTCTTATAAACGGGCTACATAAAAAAGAGGGACATGAAAATGACCATTACTGACAGATGAGGGATCATCACTACCCAGAATACAGGTGAACATTGCCATATAGGAGAAAGATCTTTATTAAATGTACAGGAATTCATCATTTCTTCCAGATTTGTTTACATTCTAATCAGCGATTGAACGTCACAAATATATTACCCACAACATGATCATTGTTTAGCAGAGATGAAGTGCCAGGGACCAATTCAAAGAAGGAGAACTGGAAATCTCACCTTCTCAGGATACAGGAAGATACGTCATACATTTTTATTATCGAATAATGGAATTGTATAGAACTGAAATGGGACTTGTGACACCTCCAGGAAAGTTACAGTTCTAGAAGTACAAGCTGCAGTCATACTCACAAATCTGCGGTCAGCCGGCCGTTTGGTGTTGATAGAGTGGACATTGAGAAACGGCATCATGACGGCCAACACCTCGCCTGTAATATCCCCCGCGGTGACCGTCCCCAACCAGTCCGAGCCCGACACACTCTGCAAAACAGCATGGAGTATAGAGTGCTGGAAGATTGGAAGACAAATGGTTCGGGTGACAGAATGTGAGATTTACTGCGCTGACACTACCGCAATACCCAGCGTTAACATTACAACGGATTCTTCCCAACTCTTGCCCAGTCAATCCAGTAGGAGCCTTTCAACCCTACAAGTCTAGTCAAATTATAGAGTCCTCCATACTATACCTTCACCTCTGTCCAGCCCATCCAATCAGTAGAATTTTCCATCTTGTATCCCAATCTGTCCAGCCCATCCAAAATCAGTAGAAATCTCCATCTTGCATCCCAATCTCTGTCCAGCCTATCCAACCAGAAGAGTTCCCATACTATGCCTCCGCTTCTGCTCAGCCCATCCAATCTGAAGAGTTCCCCATCTTGTATCCCAAACTTTGTCCAGTCTATGCAATCACAAGAGTTCCCAATCTTGTATGCCAATCTCCATCCAACCAGAAGAGTTCCCCATCTTGCATCCCAATATCTGTCTAGCCCATACTATACCTCAGCTTCTGTACAGCCAGTCCATCTGTACAGTTCCCATACTATATACCAACCTCTGTCCAGCCCATCCAATCAGTACAGTCCCTCATACTAAGCTATCAAGCTCTTTCCAGCCCATACAATCAGAATAGTTCTTCATACTATATACCAACCTCTGCCCTGCCCATCCAGTCAGTACAGTCCCCCATACTATATATCAAACTCTGCCCAGGCCATCCAATCAGAAGAGTTCCCCATCTTGCATCCCAATATCTGTCTAGCCCATCCAACCAACCAGAACAGTTGTCCATACTATATCTCAGCTTCTGTACAGCCAATCCAATCTGTACAGTTCCAATACTATATACCAACCTCTGTCCAGCCCATCCAAATCAGTAGTCCCTCATACTAAAGCCATCAAGCTCTGTCCAGCCCATCCAATCAGTGTTACCCATCCTGTATCTAGCCCATCCAATCAGAATAGTTACCCATACTATATACCAACCTCTGCCCTGCCCATCCAGTCAGTACAGTCCCCCATACTATATATCAAACTCTGCCCAGCCCATCCAATCAGTAGAGTTCCCCATCTGATTGTATTGGCTGGACAGAGATTGGAATACAAGATGGAGAACTCTACTGATTGGATAGGCTGGGCAGAGGTATAGTATGTGGAACAGTTCTGATTGGATGGACTGGACAGAGATTGGGATACAAGAACAGTTCCCCATACTATACCTCAGCCTCTATTTCCCAATCTCTCCCCAACCCATTCAATCAATAGAGTCCTCCATACTATATCCCAAACCTCTGTTCAGCCTGTGCCATTAGCAGAGTTCTCCATACTAGATCCTCAACCTCTGCACAGGCCATCCAATTAGTAGAACCCCATATACTATTCTGTGGTCCACTCTCTGTCTAGGTCATCCAGTCAGTAGCGTCCCACATACCATATTCCCAACCTCTGGCCAGGCCACCCAATTAGAAAGCTCCCCTATACTATAATCCCAATCTCTGCCCAGCCTATCCAATAGCAGAACCCTCTTATACTATGCTCCAACCTCAGCATAGCCCTTCCAATTAGTAGAGTCCCCTACGCTACATTTCAACTTCTAACTAGCCCATCCAACCCATGAGTAGAGTTTCCTATACTATATCCCAACCTCTGCGCAGGCCTTCCAATTAGTCACATCACACATACTATATCCCAACCTCTGCCTAGTCTCTTCAATCAGTATAGTCCTCCATACTATATCCCAACCTCTGCTTATCCCATCCAATCAATACAGTCTTCTAAATTATAACCCAATCGCTACTTGCCTCCCACCAAAGTTTGCAATGAAGGATAAGCATGACACAATAACAGGCTTTCCTTACCCAGACTGTCCCTCTGCGAGGTGCAGCAAAGTATGGCTTGTATCCCATAAATCCAGCGTCCACATAATGGAGGCCACACAGCCCAAACCTACGTGGAGATGGATAGGTTAGAAGGTCCATCTGTCCAGCGCTTGCACTTTTGTAAGTACTGTGACACCCCACCACCTCCCCCCGGCATCATCTGCACTGGACTGGGGAGACCACAGCTCCAGCTCGTCGTAGAGAGTCTTCAGTTTAGAAGAGGAAGTCTCCACTGTCCCGCTGCAATCTTCAGAATAAGAAATTCTGCTAAGGGTAGGAGGGAGCTCCTTTTCATTGCTGTGGCAGCTGTGTACCACTGAAAACCCCAAAACCAAGAATTCAGGTTGTTTAGCAGGTCCTATGTCTGAATGCCAAATCGTAGTTATGGTAAATGTCTTGCATGAATGGAAAAATTTTCAAACACAGAATTGAACTACCTTCTCTGGAGCAAATGCTGCTCTATTTTCTCCACTGTCCTGCTCACAAGCTCTAAAGCCCGAGACAATCCTTTCTGTGATCTCTGCGGTTTAAGCAGTACCAGGGGCGGACCGACAACTCATGGGTCCCCCGGGCAATAGGGGATCATGGGGCCCGTGTCCTTGCCCAAACTCAAAAAAAGCCTATGAAAAAGGTACCAGGGGGCATCTCATGGGGGGGCCCCCTACTGATCCCGGGTCCTCGGGCAGTGCCCAAGTTTCCAAATGGTCAGTCCGCCCCTGAGAAGTACCCACTTCTATAGCAGTGATTATATAACCCAACGTCCAAGTTTGTGGTCATGGTTCTATTCCTCTATTTATCCATGGCAGCGGGACTAGTAACAAAGCTTCAAAAGGAGTGCTTAAAATGCCCAGAATCCACCACACAGAAAATTTCAGCTTTACGTGGTTTGGCCCCCAATATTTGTTAACACTTACGGGGCAAAACAGTTATCTTGTGCCACCACCACTCCGCAATATGGCAGCAGCCACGTCACCTCTGTGCTCTGGAAACGCTTAAAATCATTGAGTGGTGCAGCCAACCTCCGAAGGTCCCAAAACTTTAAATTTCGATCAACACCGCACGTCACAATGAAATTACTAAGAAAGAGAAAAGAAGAGAGCACAATCAACCAATCACATAACTGTAATAGGTAAGAAGCTCCCTTTCTGTAGTGATTGGCCACATGACCTGGATGAGAATGGTGAAATCCCCATATGAGCTGTAAACCATCCAGGCATGGTCAAACTATGGACCGGACACTTCCTGCAGGTCAGCTCTGTCCGCACATTATGTACAGTGTGTAGCAAGTCCTACAGGGGCCGGACACTTCCTGTAGGTCAGCTGTGACTAGATTGTACGCCATGTAGTATAGACTGCTGCGAATTTGGGGGATGGAAGGTTCAGGTGACAGATTTCCATAGCCATCACTACTGTGATACCCAACATTAACACTAGAATGTTTTCTTGACAACCCATTCCCAGTTAATCCAGTCTGAGCCTTCCAAACAATGTCCTGACCTGCCCAGCCAAAATAACTACAGAGTTCTCTATACTATACTCTGACCTCTACCAATCCCATCACTAGAGTCAGTTATACTACACCCCAAACTGTACCCGTCCCATCAGTAGAGTCTTCCATACTATACCTCAACCTCTGCCCTTCCCATCAGTAGAGTCCTCCATACTATACCCCAACTTCTGCCCATCCCATCAGTAGAGTCTTCCATACTATACCCCATCCTCTGCCCTACCCATTAGTAGAGTCCTCCATACTATACCCCAACTTCTGCCCATCCCATCAGTAGAGTCTTCCATACTATACCCCAACCTCTGCCCTACCCATCAGTAGAGTCCTCCATACTATACCCCAACCTCTGCCCATCCCATCAGTAGAGTCTTCCATACTATACCTCAACCTCTGCCCTTCCCATCTGTAGAGTCCTCCATACTATACCCCAACTTCTGCCCATCCCATCAGTAGAGTCTTCCATACTATACCCCAACCTCTGCCCTACCCATTAGTAGAGTCCTCCATACTATACCCCAACTTCTGCCCATCCCATCAGTAGAGTCTTCCATACTATACCCCAACCTCTGCCCTACCCATCAGTAGAGTCCTCCATACTATACCCCAACCTCTGCCCATCCCATCAGTAGAGTCTTCCATACTATACCTCAACCTCTGCCCTTCCCATCAGTAGAGTCCTCCATACTATACCCCAACCTCTGCCCTACCCATCAGTAGAGTCCCGATAGTATACCCCAACCTCTGCCCATCCCATCTGTAGAGTCTTCCATACTATACCTCAACCTCTGCCCTTCCCATCAGTAGAGTCCGCCATACTATACCCCAACTTCTGCCCATCCCATCAGTAGAGTCCTCCATACTATACCCCAACCTCTGCCCATCCCATCAGTAGAGTCTTCCATACTATACCTCAACCTCTGCCCTTCCCATCAGTAGAGTCCTCCATACTATACCCCAACCTCTGCCCATCCCATCAGCAGAGTCTTCCATACTATACCTCAACCTCTGCCCTTCCCATCAGTAGAGTCTTCCATACTATACCCCAACTTCTGCCCATCCCATCAGTAGAGTCTTCCATACTATACCTCAACCTCTGCCCTACCCATCAGTAAAGTCCTCCATACTATACCCCAACCTCTGCCCATCCCATCAATAGAGTCTTCCATACTATACCTCAACCTCTGCCCTTCCCATCAGTAGATTCCTCCATACTATACCCCCAACCTCTGCCCATCCCATCAGTAAAGTTCCCCATCCTATATCACCAAACTCTGCAAAGCCCATTCAACGAGTAGAGTCCTCCACACTGTATCACCAAACTCTAAACATATTCTTCCCAAACCCCCTAAAGTCTATCCAGTCTGAGCCTTCCAAACTATGTTCCAACCTGCCCAGCCAACTCAAACAATAGTGTCCACTGTACTATATCCCAGCCAGACACTTCCTGTAGGTCAGCTGTGACCACATCGATATAGTGGAGGGGGGTTAGGCTGAAGATGGTTTCTTCTTTTAGAGATATATAATGTGTATTAAATATAAATGGCTCTGGAAGCTCCAGCCATACGCTTGAGTAGAATGGTAGAATCCCCCACCTTCACCAACATCCTCAATACTGGTCACTCTCTCATCCAGTACCTGTCTGCTTTGCACCATTCGACGCAGCGCACAGCGTGGTTGTGGGCTGAGAAGCTTAGGAATGGGTACTGCTTGATGACAGATCCCTGGCGCACCTTCTGGAGAATGGATTTGGTATACAGGTCCCAGATGGACACTGTGCCTGGAAAGCAGAGAAGACACACAAGTCAGAGAAGGGGGAAAGGGGCCACAAGCTAAAAGCAATCCTGTACTGAGCTATCCTCTGAAACTGCCACTACTGACCTCTTCTGGCTCCAACAGTGATCAAATGGCTTCAGAATGTTGGCCATGATTCTACCTGGTCAGTGACTTGAAGTATTGGATGAAGAGGCTACCAGGTAACTAGCATTTTCAGTAGTAGTAAAGGTGTACATAAAAAAAAACTATTTTCAGCCAATCATGGCGGCTATTGACCATCAGCCCAACCGATAATAGTGATTGCTGCCTATCAGTGCAACCTGTCTTGGAGCCAATTAAAGTGTACCATCTCTGACTGTGGTGCAGAAAGACCGTGAATAAACCATAACTGAGAAAATGTGAACGGGGGAGGTCAATGAGAAATGCAGAGAAAACTCACCATCGAAGAATCCAGCCGCCAGGTACTGGTGTGGTTTAGAGTGATGCCAGGCTACTGAGAAACACTGGCCATTGTCTCCAGATCTACATGACTTGATGGAGCCAACGTAAAGCCGAACCACAGAGTCCACCTGGGGGGGGGGGGGGGGGGGGAGAAGAACATCAGCTGACCACCAAACACCTCAAACACTTTCATTACAGGGAGCCAGATGAGACTTCTTTCCCGCCATCTTCATTCTAAAGCTCCATTCTATGTCCCGGGCCTCTGCACACCCAAAGAGCTACTCATTTTTAAAGGATATGTTTAGATCAGCGGTGTCCAAACTTACTCAACACAGGGCCAGTTCAGTGTTCATCAGACTTTAGGGGGGACTCATCATTGGTGTCAGCGGGAGGAATAGTGCTTCATCATTGGTGTCAGTGAAGGGAATGGCCAAGACTTAACACTGAACCAGACTATCACACCAATTACCAGCTTGCTGAAGATCATATTTCAAAACCATGGCCATTGATATGGAGTTGACCAACTTGTGGCTAGAAGAGCCCTCTATTCACCTGAGGTGGTTTCCCACAAGATGCTGGAGTGCTCCATTTATGAGATCAGGTACTGATGTTGGATGAGACCTGGCTCACAACCAGTGTGCCAATTCATACCAGAAAAGTGTTCAGTGGGGCGGAGCTCCCAAAGGAGCTCAATAGGTTTGAGATCAGGGCTCTGTGCAGGACACTCTAGTTCCACCACACTAAATTGGCCACACTAGGTCTTTATGGAGCTGGCTTTGTACACAGGGGCTCAGTCATGCTGGAACAGAATAGGGTCTTTCCCATACTGTTGCAAGGAAGAGCACAATTGTCTAGAACACGAGTCAAACACAAGGCCTGTGGGACGAATCTGGCCCGCCAAGCCATTTTATGAGGCCCCACACCTCTCTGCTACAGCAGCACCCACCTTGTCTCAGCAGTCAGTAGAAGAGAGGACAATAGAACTCCTCTGTCAGATCCTGTGCTACTCCGTGCAGCTGCAGAGATGCTAGCCTCTGCCCTGCACCCCTAGTCTTAGCAGTCAACAGCAGAGAGGACAACAGAACTCCTCCTACAGAACCTGAGCCTGTGTAGCTGCCGAACCTCCTCGACTCCACCTCCCCTGGTCTCAGTATTCAGCAGACTCCATCCCTCCTCTGGTCCTCCTCCAGACCCTGCACTTTTTGCTTCCCAGCTCCACCCTCAGCAGCACAAGGTAAGAGGGGGGCACTGTGATTTTAAGGGAGGGTGGGGGACTCCTGACCGTGGAGGGAGGCTCAAGACATCTAATGTAAGGAGGAGGGGTGGGGTGCTCTGAACATCTAGTCTTACAGATACAACAGGCCTTTTGAGGGCAGCTATAATGCTGATACAACCCACGATGAAATTTATTTTGGCACCCATCTTTGTATATGGTAGTATTCACAGCACTCTTCACTGGAGACCTCCGAAAGCCATGATTTTGAGGTGGGTTCAAAAACATTTGACCATTTCCTAGCCTTGATGTTCCAGCATCCACATACTTTGTGTATTTAGCTCTATAAATGGATTTGGAAATGAACGGAGGTTGGATGACAAACGGAGGGATAATTCATTATTACCATAACCTGATCAGGCCCAATATCTGACACGCTTGACCTATACTAGGCTTCTACCTAGTGTCTTCAGTGGATAAACTCTTCCTCGTATGAGATCACTACATCAGCGGCTGATATGCAACGCCTTACGGGATGTGTAGGCTGGACAACGGTGTTTCCTTCTGAGCTGCTTTAGAACACTTATTGACTTGTATTGGAACAAAGACCGTATGGAGACACATTCCCATATACAAATACGTAAAATGGATTACGTACAGGGAACCAGTAATGGCAGATCTTTCAACAAACCCACATGCTGGTCGTACAACTGGCTTCCGTTTCAGAGACTTGTTGACCAGTTAGGTGTACCCAGGAGTCGAGTTCTCTTCTGGTGTCCAGGTACACAAGGCTCCTGTGTCAGGGGGCTTCTGAGTGGTCACACTACAGACAATCCATGTATCTAATCTACTTTTTTCCGCCATCCCTGACGAGTCGTCTGCAGGTTGTTCTGTAACACCATCCATCTCCATAAATATGATCTGCTGCGTTCCGCCTGAGCGGCTTTAATTAAAAAGAACGAAGTGACAGCTAAGTGAGTATTGACCCGGGAGGAGACGGGAGGATTTATTACACATAAAGAGAGAGACTGACCAGACCTTCAGCAGCATGTACTACAAACAGAACACCGTACAGCAGTTCGGGATGTACACACCCTGCAGACAGAGGAAGAACCACAAGGTTTGCCCCGGGATATACACGCTCAGTGGACTTGGAGGACCGGCAGAGTTCAGCCCGGGTAGACGGGCAAGGGAGGACCGGCAGAGTTCAGCCCGGGGTAGACGGGCAAGGGAGGACCGGCAGAGTTCAGCCCGGGGTAGACGGGCAAGGGAGGACCGGCACAGTTCAGCCCGGGGTAGACGGGCAAGGGAGGACCGGCACAGCCCGGGTAGACGGGCAAGGGAGGACCGCACAGTTCAGCCCGGGGTAGACGGGCAAGGGAGGACCGGCACAGTTCAGCCCGGGGTAGACGGGCAAGGGAGGACCGGCACAGTTCAGCCCCGGGTAGACGGGCAAGGGAGGACCGGCACAGTTCAGCCCGGGGTAGACGGGCAAGGGAGGACCGGCACAGTTCAGCCCGGGGTAGACGGGCAAGGGAGGACCGGCACAGTTCAGCCCGGGGTAGACGGGGCAAGGGAGGACCGGCACAGTTCAGCCCGGGGTAGACGGGCAAGGGAGGACCGGCACAGTTCAGCCCGGGGTAGACGGGCAAGGGAGGACCGGCACAGTTCAGCCCGGGGTAGACGGGCAAGGGAGGACCGGCACAGTTCAGCCCGGGGTAGACGGGCAAGGGAGGACCGGCACAGTTCAGCCCGGGGTAGACGGGCAAGGGAGGACCGGCACAGTTCAGCCCGGGGTAGACGGGCAAGGGAGGACCGGCACAGTTCAGCCCGGGGTAGACGGGCAAGGGAGGACCGGCACAGTTCAGCCCGGGGTAGACGGGCAAGGTCCACCGGCACAGTTCAGCCCGGGGGCAAGGGAGGACCGGCACAGTTCAGGGGGTAGACGGGCAAGGGAGGACCGGCACAGTTCAGCCCGGGGTAGACGGGCAAGGGAGGACCGGCACAGTTCAGCCCGGGGTAGACGGGCAAGGGAGGACCGGCAGAGTTCAGCCCCGGGGTAGACGGGCAAGGGAGGACCGGCAGAGTTCAGCCCGGGGTAGACGGCAAGGGAGGACCGGCAGAGTTCAGCCCGGGGTAGACGGGCAAGGGAGGACCGGCAGAGTTCAGCCCGGGGTAGACGGGCAAGGGAGGACCGGCAGAGTTCAGCCCGGGGTAGACGGGCAAGGGAGGACCGGCAGAGACCCCGGGGGTAGACGGGCAAGGGAGGACCGGAGTTCACCCGGGGTAGACGGGCAAGGGAGGACCGGCAGAGTTCACCCCGGGGTAGACGGGCAAGGGAGGACCGGCAGAGTTCACCCGGGGTAGACGGGCAAGGGAGGACCGGCAGAGTTCACCCCGGGGTAGACGGGCAAGGGAGGACCGGCAGAGTTCACCCGGGGTAGACGGGCAAGGGAGGACCGGCAGAGTTCACCCCGGGGTAGACGGGCAAGGGAGGACCGGCAGAGTTCACACCCCGGGGTAGACGGGCAAGGGAGGACCGGCAGAGTTCACCCCGGGGTAGACGGGCAAGGGAGGACCGGCAGAGTTCACCCCGGGGTAGACGGGCAAGGGAGGACCGGCAGAGTTCACCCCGGGGTAGACGGGCAAGGGAGGACCGGCAGAGTTCACCCCGGGGTAGACGGGCAAGGGAGGACCGGCAGAGTTCACCCCGGGTAGACGGGCAAGGGAGGACCGGCAGAGTTCACCCGGGGTAGACGGGCAAGGGAGGACCGGCAGAGTTCACCCCGGGGTAGACGGGCAAGGGAGGACCGGCAGAGTTCACCCCGGGGTAGACGGGCAAGGGAGGACCGGCAGAGTTCACCCCGGGGTAGACGGGCAAGGGAGGACCGGCAGAGTTCACCCCGGGGTAGACGGGCAAGGGAGGACCGGCAGAGTTCACCCCGGGGTAGACGGGCAAGGGAGGACCGGCAGAGTTCACCCCGGGGTAGACGGGCAAGGGAGGACCGGCAGAGTTCACCCCGGGGTAGACGGGCAAGGGAGGACCGGCAGAGTTCACCCCGGGGTAGACGGGCAAGGACCGGCAGAGTTCACCCCGGGGTAGACGGGCAAGGGAGGACCGGCAGAGTTCACCCCGGGGTAGACGGGCAAGGGAGGACCGGCAGAGTTCACCCCGGGGTAGACGGGCAAGGGAGGACCGGCAGAGTTCACCCCGGGTAGACGGGCAAGGGAGGACCGGCAGAGTTCACCCCGGGGTAGACGGGCAAGGGAGGACCGGCAGAGTTCACCCCGGGGTAGACGGGCAAGGGAGGACCGGCAGAGTTCACCCGGGGTAGTAGACGGGCAAGGGAGGACCGGCAGAGTTCACCCCGGGGTAGACGGGCAAGGGAGGACCGGCAGAGTTCACCCCGGGGTAGACGGGCAAGGGAGGACCGGCAGAGTTCACCCCGGGGGTAGACGGGCAAGGGAGGACCGCAGAGTTCACCCCGGGGTAGACGGGCAAGGGAGGACCGGCAGAGTTCACCCCGGGGTAGACGGGCAAGGGAGGACCGGCAGAGTTCACCCCGGGGTAGACGGGCAAGGGAGGACCGGCAGAGTTCACACCCCGGGGTAGACGGGCAAGGGAGGGACCGGCAGACGTTCACCCCGGGGTAGACGGGTAAGGGAGGACCGGCAGATTTCACCCCCCCCGGGGTAGACGGGTAAGGGAGGACCAGCAACATTTATCAAAGGATATATAGTTGTGCTCAAAAGCTAGCACACTCTTTCAGAAATTGAGAAATGTTGGCATGGACATTGGACATTGGCCCTGAGCAAAAAAGGTTTTCCTCCCCTGGAATGTTTGGCCTTGTTACAGACACACAAGGTGACACACACACGGGTTAAAATGGAAATTAAAAGGTTAATTCCCACATCTGTGGCTTTTTAAATTGCAATTAGTGTCAGTGTGCAAATAGTCTGTGATTGTTAGCTCTCATGTGGATGCACTGAGAAGGCTAGATACTGAGCCATGGGAGCAGAAAGGAAGTGTCAAAAGACCTGCGTAACAAGGTAATGGAACTTTATGGACTGGATGGACTTTTTTGTCTTTTCAGCCAGACTAACTAATGGAACTATGTTTATAAAGATGGAATAGGATATGAAAAGATATCCAAAGCCTTGAATATGCTGGTCAGTGCTGTTCAATCATTTATTTATAAAAGGAAAGGTTTCTTCACAGTGAGAGCTGTGAAAATGTGGAATAGACTCCCTCAAGAGTTGGTTGTGGCCAGCTCAGTGGATTGCTGTAGGAAAGTCCTGGATTCTTTCTTGGATACACAGAATATAACATTTATAGGGAAAGTTGATCCAGGGAATATCTGATTGCCTCACGAGGGATCAGGAAGGAATTTTTTTCCCCTGCAGGAGCAAATTGGATCATGCTTTGCTGGGTTTTTTGTCTTCCTCTGGATCATCTGTGGGTGTAGGATTATAACTGTTTTTTTTTTTTTTATGGTTAAACTGGATGGACTATGGTCTTTTTTTCAGCCAGACTAACTATGTAACTTATTAAGAGAAGTGGAAAATTTGGGGATTTTGATACCAATCCAAGGTCGGATAGACAAAGAAAGATTGCAGCCACAACTGCCAGAATTGTTCGGGAGATTATTTATATATACAGTCAGGTCCATAAATATTGGGACATCGAAACAATTCTAACATTTTTGGCTCTATACACCACCACAATGGATTTGAAATGAAACAAACAAAATGTGCTTTAACTGCAGACTGTCAGCTTTAATTTGAGGGTATTTACATCCAAATTAGGTGAACGGTGTAGGAATTACAACAGTTTGCATATGTGCCTCCCAGTTGTTAAGGGACCAAAAGTAATGGGAACAACTGGCTTTCTCAGCTGTTCCATGGCCAGGTGTGTGTTATTCCCTCATTATCCCAATTACAATGAGCAGGTAAAAGGTCCAGAGATCATTTCAAGTGTGCTTTTTGCATTTGGAATCTGTTGCTGTCAACTCTCAAGATGAGATCCAAAAGAGCTGTCACTGTCAGTGAAGCAAGCCATCATTAGGCTGAAAAAACAAAACAAACCCATCAGAGAGATAGCAAAAAACATTAGGCGTGGCCAAAACAACTGTTTGGAACATTCTTAAAAAAAAGGAACGCACCGGTGAGCTCAGCAACACCAAAAGACCTGGAAGACCACGGAAAACAACTGTGGTGGATGACCGAAGAAATCTTTCCCTGGTGAAGAAAACACCTTTCACAACAGTTGGCCAGATCAAGAACACTCTCCAGGAGGTAGTGTGTATGTGTGTCAAAGTCACCAATCAAGAGAAGACTTCACCAGAGTGAATACAGAGGGTTCACCACAAGATGGAAACCATTGGTGAGCCTCAAAAACAGGAAGGCCAGATTAGAGTTTGCCAAACGACATGTAAAAAAAGCCTTCACAGTTCTGGAACAACATCCTATGGACAGATGAGACCAAGATCAACTTGTACCAGAGTGATGGGAAGAGAAGAGTATGGAGAAGGAAAGGAAACTGCTCATGATCCTAAGCATACCACCTCATCAGTGAAGCATGGTGGTGGTAGTGTCATGGCGTGGGCATGTATGGCTGCCAATGGAACTGGTTCTCTTGTATTTATTGATGATGTGACTGCTGACAAAAGCAGCCGGATGAATTCTGAAGTGTTTCGGCAAATATTATCTGCTCATATTCAGCCAAATGCTTCACAACTCATTGGACGCTTCACAGTGCAGATGGACAATGACCCAAAGCAGACTGCAAAAGCAACCAAAGAGTTTTTTAAGGGAAAGAAGTGGAATGTTATGCAATGGCCAAGTCAATCACCTGACCTGAATCTGATTGAGCATGCATTTCACTTGCTGAAGACAAAACTGAAGGGAAAATGCCCCAAGAACAAGCAGGAACTGAAGACAGTTGCAGTAGAGGCCTGGCAGAGCATCACCAGGGATGAAACCCAACGTCTGGTGATGTGTCTATGCGTTCCAGACTTCAGGCTGTAATTGACTGCAAAGGATTTGCAACCAAGTATTAAAAAGTGAAAGTTTGATTTATGATTATTATTCTGTCCCATTACTTTTGGTCCCTTAACAAGTGGGAGGCACATATGCAAACTGTTGTAATTCCTACACCGTTCACCTGATTTGGGTGTAAATACCCTCAAATTAAAGCTGACAGTCTGCAGTTAAAGCACATCTTGTTCGTTTCATTTCAAATACATTGTGGTGGTGTATAGAGCCAAAAATGTTAGAATTGTGTCGATGTCCCAATATTTATGGACCTGACTGTGTGTATGTATGTGTGTATATATATATATATATATATATATATATATATATATATATATATAATATATATATATATATATATATATACACATATATACACATACACATATATACACATACATACACACACACACACACACACATATATATGCACACACGTAGTGCAAAGAAAATCTCCCTCACACCATGACACCATCACCACCAGCCTGAATCGTTGATACAAGGGAGGCTGGATCCATGCTTTCAAGTTGTTTATGCCAAATTTTGACCCTACCATTTGAATGTTGCAGCAACCAGCCTGCCCATTCTCCTCTGACATCAACAAGGCATTTCCCTCCACACAACTGCCACAGACTGATATTTTCTCTTTTTCGGACCATTCTCTGTAAACCCTAGAGATGGTTGTGAGTGAAAATCCCAGCAGATCAGCAGATTTTTAAATACTCAGACCAGCCCGTCTGGCACCAACAACCATGCCATGTTCAAAGTCACCTAAATCCCCTTTCTTCCCCATTCTGATGCTCGGTTTGAACTTCAGCAAGTCGTCTTCACCACATCTAGATGGCAAAATGTATTGAGTTGCTGCCATGGGATTGGCTGATTTAGCAATTTGTGTTACCAAGCAAGTCAACAGGTGGGCTTAATAAAGTGACTGGTGAGTGTATGTATACACATGTAAAGTGCTGCGCAAATAGACCTGTAATATATAAATACACACTTTATGGATTGGGGGGGGGACCAGCAGGTACACCATGAAAACAGAAATCACACAAATGGCCTGATCTTACCTTGCAGACGGTCATCTCCGAGATATCTGTAGGAAAACCAGAAAATCCAATTACATTGTTGTTGTGAGAGAACACAATACATGGCTACATAAATCTCAGGAGGCCAGAAGCGAACACACCTACAGAAGAATACAGGTCTTATGTTATGTTGGCAGTTACACACACTTTCAGAATAACCATCAAGAAGAATGTCGATTTGCAGCACATGTAATGCTGGGCTCTCTCTGGGCTGGACAGCACATGTAATGCTGGGCTCTCTCTGGGCTGGACAGCACATGTAATGCTGGGCTCTCTGGACTGTACAGTAAATATAATGCTGGGCTCTCTCCGGGCTGTACAGTAAATGTAATGCTGGGCTCTCTCCGGGCTGTACAGTAAATGTAATGCTGGGCTCTCTCCGGGCTGTACAGTAAATGTAACACTGGGCTCTCTCTGGCTGTACAGTAAATGTAAATGCTGGGGCCTCTCTCTGGGCTGTACAGTAAATGTAACGCTGGGCTCTCTCTGGGCTGTACAGTAAATGTAACGCTGGGCTCTCTCTGGGCTGTACAGAAAATGTAATGCTGGGCTCTCTCCTGGGCTGTACAGTAAATGTAACGCTGGGCTCTCTCTGGGCTGTAGCGGTGTACAGAAAATGTAATGCTGGGCTCTCTCTGGGCTGTACAGTAAACGTAACGCTGGGCTCTCTCTGGGCTGTAGTGGTGTACAGTAAATGTAATGCTGGGCTCTCTCTGGGCTGTACAGTAAATGTAATGCTGGGCTCTCTCCGGGCTGTACAGTAAACGTAATGCTGGGCTCTCTCTGGGCTGTAGTGGTGTACAGTAAATGTAATGCTGGGCTCTCTCCGGGCTGTACAGTAAATGTAATGCTGGGCTCTCTCCGGGCTGTACAGTAAATGTAATGCTGGGCTCTCTCCGGGCTGTACAGTAAACGTAATGCTGGGCTCTCTCTGGGCTGTAGTGGTGTACAGTAAATGTAATGCTGGGCTCTCTCTGGGCTGTAGTGGTGTACAGTAAATGTAATGCTGGGCTCTCTCTGGGCTGTAGCGGTGTACAGTAAATGTAATGCTGGGCTCTCTCTGGGCTGTAGTGGTGGACAGTAAATGTAATGCTGGGCTCTCTGGGCTGTACAGTAAATGTAATGCTGGGCTCTCTCTGGGCTGTACAGTAAATGTAACGCTGGGCTCTCTCTGGGCTGTAGCGGTGTACAGTAAATGTAACGTGGGCTCTCTCTGGGCTGTACAGTAAATGTAACGCTGGGCTCTCTCTGGGCTGTACAGTAAATGTAATGCTGGGCTCTCTCTGGGCTGTACAGTAAATGTAACGCTGGGCTCTCTCTGGGCTGTACAGTAAATGTAACGCTGGGCTCTCTCTGGGCTGTACAGTAAATGTAACGCTGGCTCTCTCTGGGCTGTACAGTAAATGTAACGCTGGGCTCTCTCTGGGCTGTACAGAAAATGTAATGCTGGGCTCTCTCTGGGCTGTACAGTAAATGTAACGCTGGGCTCTCTCTGGGCTGTAGCGGTGTACAGAAAATGTAATGCTGGGCTCTCTCTGGGCTGTAGTGGTGTACAGTAAATGTAATGCTGGGCTCTCTCTGGGCTGTACAGTAAATGTAATGCTGGGCTCTCTCCGGGCTGTACAGTAAACGTAATGCTGGGCTCTCTCTGGGCTGTAGTGGTGTACAGTAAATGTAATGCTGGGCTCTCTCTGGGCTGTAGTGGTGTACAGTAAATGTAATGCTGGGCTCTCTCTGGGCTGTAGCGGTGTACAGTAAATGTAACGCTGGGCTCTCTCTGGGCTGTAGTGGTGGACAGTAAATGTAATGCTGGGCTCTCTGGGCTGTACAGTAAATGTAATGCTGGGCTCTCTCTGGGCTGTACAGTAAATGTAACGCTGGGCTCTCTCTGGGCTGTAGCGGTGTACAGTAAATGTAACGTGGGCTCTCTCTGGGCTGTACAGTAAATGTAACGCTGGGCTCTCTCTGGGCTGTACAGTAAATGTAATGCTGGGCTCTCTCTGGGCTGTACAGTAAATGTAACGCTGGGCTCTCTCTGGGCTGTACAGTAAATGTAACGCTGGGCTCTCTCTGGGCTGTACAGTAAATGTAACGCTGGGCTCTCTCTGGGCTGTACAGTAAAATGTAACGCTGGGCTCTCTCTGGGCTGTACAGTAAATGTAATGCTGGGCTCTCTCTGGGCTGTACAGTAAATGTAATGCTGGGCTCTCTCTGGGCTGTACAATAAATGTAATGCTGGGCTCTCTCTGGGCTGTAGTGGTGTACAGTAAATGTAATGCTGGGCCCTCTCTGGGCTGTACAGTAAACGTAATGCTGGGCTCTCTCTGGGCTGTGGCATTGTACATAATTCTTCCATATTCAGGCCGGTGTCCTCATCTCACCACCTCTGCTGTACAAACACATGCTGTGCTCATGCTGCCACTCACACTGCGCCCCCCCCCCCCCCAACCGGGAGAACTGCTGACCAGGCAGAATTCAAGATCGGTTTCTGAACCTGCTATCAAATCCCAGCAATCCCCTGCTGCACAGATCCAAAGACAGAGCCATATGACAGCCTGCAGAAATATAGAACCCATCTGATTTCACACTCAAAAGTAAGAAATATTCTTTTATTTTCTCCTAGAAAAGCAGAGCTGAAGGTTTCACTGTGCGGTGTTTACTTTGAAATCATGTCTTCATCAAGTTGAATGGGAGTATTTTTAATGGTGAGCGGCTCAAAAATATCTGAGCACAAACAGGAGGTGACCATTAGAGAAAACAGCACGTCAAAGCAAATCAGTAGACCCAGGAGGTACAACAGCTGAAGACATACCCAGATTGACTATCAATAGACCCGGGAAGTACAACAGCTGAAGTTATACCCAGATCGAGTATCAGTAGATTCAGGAAGTACAACAACTGAAGTTATACCCAGATCGACTATCAGTAGACCCGGGAAGTACAACAGCTGAAGTTGTACTTCCTGGGTCTACTCGATCTGGGTATAACTTCAGCTGTTGTACTTCCCGGGTCTACCGATAGTCGATCTGGGTATAACAGCTGAAGTTATACCCAGATCGACTATCATTAGACCCGGGAAGTACAACAGCTTAAATTATACCCAGATCGATTATCAGTTGACCTTGGAGGTACAACAGCTAAAGTTATACCCAGACCAACTATCATTAGACCTGGGAAGTACAACAGCTTAAATTGTACCTCCTAGATCTATGGATACTCGATCTGGGTATAATTTAAGCTGTTGTACTTCCCGGGTCTACTGATAGTCGATCTGGGTATAACTTCAGCTGTAGTACCTCCTAGATCTACTGATACGCGATCTGGGTATAACAGCTGAAGCTTTACCTAGATAGATCATCAATAGACCCGGGAGGTACAACAGCTGAAGTTATACCCAGATCGAGTATCAGTAGATCTAGGAGGTACAACAGATGAAGCTTTACCCAGATCAATTAGTTTACCTTGGAGGAACAACAGCTGAAGCTATACCCAGATCGATTATCAGTTGACCTTGGAGGTACAACAGCTGATAATCGATCTGAAGCTTTGTACCTCCTAGATTTACTCATCTGGGTATAATTTCACTGTTCATACCTGGGTACTGATAACTGGGTATAACTTCAGCTGTTGTACCTCCAAGGTCAACTGATAATCGATCTGGGTATAGCTTCACCTGTTGTACCTCCTAGATTTACTGACACTCGATCTGGGTATAATTTCAGCTGTTGTACCTCCTGGGTCTACTGATAGTCGATCTGGGTATAACTTCAGCTGTTGTACCTCCCAGGTCTATTGATAATCGATCTGGGTATAGCTTCACCTGTTGTACCTCCTAGATTTACTGACACTCGATCTGGGTATAACTTCGATCTGGGTATAACTTCAGCTGTTGTACCTCCCAGGTCTACTGATAATCGATCTGGTATAGCGTTAGCTGTTATACCCAGATCGAGTATCAGTAGATCTAGGAGGTACAACAGCTGAAGCTATACCCAGATCGATTATCAATAGACTTGGGAGGTACAACAGATGAAGTTCTACACAGATTGACTATCCATAGACCCAGGAGGTACAACTTCAGCTGTTGTACCTCCAAGGTCAACTGATAATCCATCTGGGTATAGCTTCAACTGTTGTTCCTTCAAGGTAAACTAATTGATCTGGGTAAAGCTTCATCTGTTGTACCTCCTAGATCTACAGATGCTCGATCTGGGTATAACTTCAGCTGTTGTACCTCCCGGGTCTATTGATAATCTATCTGGGTAAAGCTTCAGCTGTTATACCCAGATCGAGTATCAGTAGATCTAGGAGGTACAACAGCTGAAGCTATACCCAGATGGATTATCAGTTGACCTTGGAGGTACAACAGCTGACGTTGTACCTCCTGGGTCTATGGATAGTCAATTTGGGTAGAACTTCAGCTGTTGCACCTTCAGGGTCTACTGATTGTCGATCTGAGTAGAACAGCTGAAGTTATACCCAGATCGACGATCAGTCAACCCAAAAATACAGTAGCTAACATTATACGCAGATCAACAATAAGTAGACCCAGGAGATAATGCAGCTAAAGTTATATCCAGGCCATGTTTGGAGGAAATGATGGCTTTGGTCAGGTAGGTTGTCCATTGAAAGAAGAGTTTTTGGGTCTACAACCTCCCATCCTTTCTGTTGTCTTTAAATGCACAGGAAAAGCTGAGATTTTACAAAAACTTCAGCTACAGATATGGATTCATCCACTGTTCTGATCTTTGTCTTTCTTAGGTGGTTATTGAATCATCATAGGCTTAGTTTGAATGTTTTGAAGTAAGATTTATTCATAAACCGCGAGATTTTTCTATAGAAGAATTCAATATCTTACATTTTAATGGGGTTCAATAGGACTTTAAACACGTCAAGAAAGCCATTGTGTCATTGTTAATGAATGGGCCTCTTGGTAGCACCCAGACGGTAGCAGACCTCCAGAGCTCCTTAGTCTGTCCCATTGTGTTCCCTCCAGTCTATAAATCCA